ATAAATACATTATTTTCTTCAAATCATTAAGCATTAGAGAGAGAAAATCAAATAAAAATCAAAAATCTTTGACGAATCGTAAAGCGAAAAACTGTTTCGATTTTTCAAGAATAAGTTGAAAAAACACATACAATTATAAATGTCATAACAAAGGCGAAAAACCAGAAACTATCGAAAACGCATACCTCTGTTCAAAACAATGGAAGATTTAGGGAGGGCTACTAGGGAGCTGAAGTACCCACCGTTGCGCGTATTGAAATTGTTTTGTAGTATTATAAATTACTTGGAAAATCAGATATACCAGTGTATAGTGAAATGATGAATTAAATATTAAATAAACAATTTTCCCCCAACACAAGTACTTGCATAAAACACAACTGATTTTCCTGAACATTAAAGCCTCAAATTATTAATTCGTTTTTACTCTAAAGTTAACCATTTATGATCGTTATTAGTAAAATAGCACCCACCATGAAAATAATACTACATCCGCTACTGGTACGAAACAAATGTGTCGAATCGAAGAAAAAATGTGCTTAAATCGTTAATATAATGTATATATACACAGTATACATCTCTAAGTGTTGGTTTGATTTAAACTTTTTAACTTGCTTCGACGCCCGTGCAGATCAATAACATTACGGAGGTGCATACGAAAATAATACGTGACGAATCGATCGAATGGTGTACGGGACGAGCTGATCGCTATACGCTCATCGCAGACCCACCTCCGATGAATCATGTTTACTTCATTAAAACGATATAATATGCGAATAATACACAGATAGACTGAACTAAACGATAGTGTACATCTGACGTTGTTGTAGTACGATGACGTGATCACACGAAGAACCACGGGCGAGTCGACGGGCGCACACGTTTACATATTAATTAGAATCACTGCGTTACTGCCACCTTCCCCCAACCACAAGTTATATCTGCAAACGTCCTGTGACTAGTAGCTATTTGTCACAAGGACAAGGATTAAGGACGTGTCGTGGTCATCACGACGATAACACAAAAACCAAGCTAGTGGAACGATGACGAAACGATATCGTATGATGATGATGACGACGACGATGATACTAATAATAATAACGATAATATAATGCACCCGCAAATAAAACACGAACGGTGTGACACTATACAAATTATCATATTATTACATAATATGGTACATCTCGTTCACATGGCGTACGCGTTCGCTGCTATAGTATATAAAAGTATCAAGTGTCGAAGTGCATGCAATATGACTTTACTTCGAGTAAGTACCGTACCCGTCGTAACTTCGATCGATTGAACGTACATATAACTATTTAACTATAAGAAAAATAACTGTTATTATAGGTGATGAATTTTGTACTTTGTATTGTTTTTTATCCCCATGAGTATTGTTTCTTGGGACTATTTCTTTCGGAAACATCGATACGTTAAGCTTTATTTGGACAGGCGTTCGGAGAGAAAAGTAGAAGTTTTCAATTCGTACAGTATTTGATACTTCGCAGAGTAGTTACTGTCATTTGTATGAAACGCAATAGGTTATATTGCATGGAATAGTGCCGGTCATGCGTAGAGGCCGTAATAGAATATATACATAAATAAAATTATGAAATTTTCATGTTTATAATATTGGGAAATAACTATAAGGTGTCGATGAAGCACATACACGGGGATAGTAAAAATTATAATGTATAATATAGAAAATGTAGACTAAGGAAGGAAGGAGTAGACGCTTCCGGGCAAAAAGAGCAATGACGAATTTTCGAGTTGTCAGTCCAGGCTAAAGACTTTTTTTGAGAACAAGAATTTTCTCGTACCTACGCAATTTAATCACCGCACAAGCAGACGTAGTGATTTTTTCGTTTTTGTTATATTTTATTAGAATATATTTTTCCACTACCCTTCAACAATTGAGTTTGAAATTTATTTATACTTTTATTATTTTTGGTTTGATCGTTAGTATAATATTAAAAATTGTATTACACAGAGTTCCTTGTAGGGTTATAATTTAAAATTTAATAAAAATGAAAAACGAATTTATTAGAGACACGTTAACTATCATAACCTTGAAGTTATAATTGGACAGAGATGGCATAGCCTTTTTAACAACCGTGTGTCTTAGTTAGGATTTTCTTTGAAAATATTTTCTTCAAGTTTTAGTTAAGGACACGTTTTCTGTCCATACAAGACTCATCGATTTTGAAAATAGGTAGACGGGCGAGACACAGCCTTTTTAACAAACGTCGTCCTCAGTAAAATCGTTTTTAAAACAAACAAAAAATATCATTTGTTGTTGCGCGGGACATCGAGTCACGGCGTATAGGACAGTACCTACGCGTTACCTACTATCAAATATAGAACGCACGAACGCGAGCGACATTCCTATTTTTAATAAACCCGAACGCTTTTTAGGCCGTTCGCATTGCACTTCAGTATCATTACTTTTACATCGGTCCGTATACTATGTGATCGTTACACGATTTATTCCGCAAGTTCTGGGACTTACAAGCCAAGTTAGACAAAACAATACGAATGCGAATACGCAGCGAAACATGAGTCCAGTTCTTGGTGTAGAATTATTAGTAAATATTTTTTAATACTCTCGGCAGATTTATCGCGTTCAAGTGAAAGATCTGGAAAAATGCGGTTTTTTTCTAGAACGCGGACGAGTGATAATTGCAAACACATCAGTATATCTGTAATAATGTGGTTCCACAATAAACGTGTACTTATGCATACGCATGTGTACACGTATCGTCGTGCTCACCTTGACCGTAATAATTTTCAATGTCTATTTTTTCATCTGTTTCGCTCACTTTCGCATACTGTTCGGAGTAGAGATGATCCGGGCACCCGACAATCATCCGATAGATCCGAGTGCTCTATATCGTAATGAAGACTCCGCCCTTGCCCGGTACTCGGTGTAATACTGCATTTTTTACCCGGCCGATACCCGGTCCCCGGCCTATTAATACATTTTTACTCGACCACTACTCGGTGACCGGCAGATAATCCGTGCATATTAAAAATATGCACACTTAATGAAACAGGAAAAATCCCAAGTCATGAATTTTGATTTACATTTAAGATAAACGAACGAATTTACATTGCTGGTTATTATTGTGTATGAATGGTGGTGTTTTATTCCACAAATTATAAAATAATAAATTATCCATTGTAATTAATAAACGTTTAATTTGATTTACTATAAATGATTGATTTTCAAAGTGCATATTATGTAGGTAGTAATACATATACTAAATATATTTAGTAGTTAGTGTGCACTCCATGTAATATTGTAATTGAGGGGGCGGGGGTTTATCATGTAAAGCAACGCTTAAATCTTCCAGACAAATGCAATCAAATCTCCGTCCACGATAGTCCATATGACATGGATGCAAGCACGGTAACGAGAAAAAATGTACGGTATAATTCGGGGCCGACCGCCGCTGCTAACCGTTTATCGTCCGTATAGAAGTCGTATTTAGAATATCAGCAAATCCGATGACCGCGTAGGTTTTGATATGTTGGGGGTTTTTTTTTTACATTTTTCATTTTCCCGTAAACACTTTCTTTTCGATCGTACGGAATCAAACGTCATTTCATAATTATTCCGACGAAATGGACGTCTTTACGTTACCGATTATCTAAAATAAAGAAAAAAATCGCCCCCCCCCCACCCCCGAACCGCGCTGAACAAAAAACAAACTGTTCCGGGAACACGCGCGGACACCGATATCGTTTTCGCGGATACCGTCGATCTTCCGATTACGTGCGCACGAGCGTAGAATCTATATTATAGATCGTCGCGTACAACAGGTGCACACGCGATCACCTCGGGTCAGAACCGTAGGTCACAACTTAGGGGGCGCATTGCTTCAGGACAAAAAAGGGCATGGTACGGCTTTGCAGGGCTGTACTTAAGATTTATCCGCCCAGGGGCAACAACATTTTTTCGCCCCTCTTCCCTGAAATTGTAAAACCGAAAATAAGTATCTACGGCTATTCATCGAAAAGCCGCTCGTTATTAATTTTCAGCGTTTCAATACACTATTATACAATATTTGTGATTAATATCAAATCCAAAACAATAACTGAGTTATAATTACATACACTAAGTTAGTTACTACGTTAGTCGAAGGCGATACCCGTAAATAATTTAGTATCGTTCAGTCTGAATGTTCCATCCTCGTACAAATCAAGATTAAACCAATACCGATATCTCAATAAAATACTCTTAAACAGTTATACATTTTGTACGCTACTAAATAATATAAACGATTTTATAGTATATACATTTATTTTTTATATAATTTTATTTATTCAAAAATAATTTTCCATTAAGAATGCAAAATAATCGGTTTACTTTTATTTAGAATCACTGCAAAAATATTGTCGCCCCTTTAAATATTGGTGCTATCGTCTCCAGTGGCTCAATTATCGGGAGAGATGGGTATGCGATTCGCAGGGGCCCCAAGATCACTTTTGATATTACCTTTATCCCCTACGATATTGTTACTGTAGTCCGTAACGTACGCATATTAAATTTGTTTTATTATAATAACAATAAATAATAATAATAATAATAATAATTATAAAAACAAACAAGGGCCCCAGTACGGAAATGTTCACACGGGCCTCTTAAAGTCAAGTTGCGCCACCGATTGTCTCGGCCCTGGCTCGCGGACGAACAGCCGTAACGACGCAAGATTATCCGAGCACCGCCCGCGACCCGATGCTCTCTCGTCGCAATGTACGCGGTGTCGCATAGACAACGCGCGTCCGTCGCCTATGGATTGCGACGTGCCCTACGTGCGCAACAACGCGTTCGTTGGAAACACGCGAACCGATACCCGTTACCGACCGCCGCCCATTGTGCCGCCGTCCGTAGTCGCAAGTCGTGTTGTCGTCGTCGACGGCTGCGGTGGCGGGGGCACACGCGCGCATTCCTCCATGACGCGCAGCGCTCGCGCGTGATAAGAGCCGTGGTCGATCGTCGCCTGATAATACCGCGGCGGCATCTGCGGCCGCAGTACGGCAACCACCGCGATCGCTCTCGAACTCGCGCTCGACGCACTGCTGCGACCGCGTTCCCGCCACACGACCGTCGTCGCGCGGCTCCAACGCAGGGCCACGCCGTCCTCGTGATCGTTTCCTCGTACCGTTACACTCGCGAAACTCCTTCCGTCGCACGGAACACGCCCGTGGGGCCGGTCGACTGCCGAGAGTTGCTGCTGCTGCGATTCATTGGATGCACCGACCGAACACGTCACTACCGGTCATGTCCGACGGGTAGAACGAGCGACGAAGAGATCCGAGGTGAGTGGAGACAGCGATGGGAAAAACTCCCGGTCCGGTGCTCGCGCCCATTGCATGACTTCCAGACCCCTCGTCCGGTTCGGTTTTTGCTTATTACTACTCCGGTTCCAAACATATTTGTTCGTTGCTCAGGTCTGTTCGCGACCGTTACCACTTATTTCACACCAGTACTCACACGGCTTATTTCACGGAGCGTTTCCGTCATATGCGAAACCCTCCTCTCCAACTCAAAGGTGTTAGATCGAGAAACAATCAAAGTGATCTGTCGCTTTTGTTGGCACTAGTTAAAAAAAATTAATCAAACATTTTCCTGTCTCACCTACTAGCACATAGTTGGACCCTTGACGTTTTGTAATCTTCTAGCCAAAACGATAAATTTGCTAACAGCTCACCTGACAGCCAGTGCCGTGTGTCAAGATCAAACTGTTGACTTATAGACATGTCCGGTCTTCCATGTGATTCTGTTTATTTTACGGTTTTGTTGCTTTTCCTGCATTCTGATTAGAATTACTTAGCTCTCTATGGCATATTGGGGTAGATGGATATTATGCTCTAGATACTTGGCAGATTTATATGCGTCTTCATCTAAACAATATATAACGTGTTCAAAGGTTGTTAATTTTTTATCTCATTTCTCATAAAAATGCCAACATTGATTTTAAACTAATTTAATTAGTTCAAAGCTCTCCCAAGGATGTGATATTTTGTTGTACTAAAAACCAAAATCATATCTGTTAAAACAATTGATACATAGTGTTAGTAGTATTACTTTACGAGCACAAACACTATGTTGACTATTCAATTTATTACTTAAACCCGAGTTACTATAATATGTTATAAAATAATGAAATATATTCAAAGTACTTATGAAATATTTCGTAAAATATTTTAGTAATTAAAAAGAAAATGATGTTGGATAAACTAAATTATTTAAAAATATATTATCCATTCAATAAGTATTGTTAACTTAATTTTAAACAAGATATAAAATATAACTGTCAAGATTCTTAAACTCATTATACATTCATTATACATAAAAATAATTTATTTTATTTACGTCAATGATTATTTCAGAGAATTAAATATATCACAAGGAAGTGGCCTACATTTAATTTTCAATATAAAGTTAATTAAATAACATTTTCAAACTATACTTAATGTAAATATTTAATAAATAATTTTTATTAAAGTTTAGTTTTGGACATATTGTATAAATTGTATTTAATTTAAACATTTTTGAATGAGAATATTTCCACCACAAAAATTTTAAGAAACATCCTAAAAAAAAATTATTTATAATACTTTTAATTTAAATATTTTAGTTAAATATTTAATATTTGATTATAATTTTATGCATTGTATATTTTTTAATTTATTTTATTGTTCGAATACTGTAAATGTATTTTTAAACAAGGAAATGTTCATAGTATATGGTTTTATGGTTTTAAGAGTTCTAACTTATCAATGATTAGTACCTATTAATTTCAATATATAATTTGTACTTTCAAATAAATATATAAGCATATTCAAATAATTTTATAAATAACTATAATAAAAACGAGCTTTTTTTCAAATTTTTGAAACTTAAATACTTGTTTATTCTTATAAATAAAATTATAGGTATGTTTTTAATTTTTTATGTCCATGTATATATTTGTAAATTATATTACTTATCTAGGTAATTAGTTTAAAACAATTATTGAATTATACGAAGTAATATGATAGTTATTTATTCAAAATATAATTATCCTGTTAATTATATTTTAGAACTACTTGTTTAGTTTGAATTTTTAATTAATTTATTCATATGTTTACGTATATAAACTATACAGTTACATCTATAAAAAATTAATCTAGTGAAACAGAAGGTCAGAACTAATTTTAAAAAGCGAATAATACTAATTAATCTTAGTATTCTTTTAAATAGAATTATAAGTTAGGCCTACTTATTTGTTTTAATGTAGTAAAACAATAAGAAAAATAATAAAAATAAGTTTATCACATTTGCTCATTTTTCTTAATTAGATAACCTTTACCTTTTACTTTTAAAATATTTTCTTACTATAACAATTAAATTCTTTCAATATGTACTATGTATATTATTTTAATTCCAATTGTTGTATCATTTAATATTTTTAATACCTCAATGAAATACCAAAAAATATTTGATTATATAATCTTACATTACAAAACTATGTATTTACTAAATTTTACATAAATAGTTAATATTTTATTTTATGATTTTTATACTGAAATTTTTTTTAATTAAAATCAATATAAAAAACCTAAGTATATATAGCCAACCTATGTGTACATGATAAAAAAATTTCTGAAATATATTGCTTTGTTAAATATAAATTTTAGTTATTATGAACATAAGTTAAAAAAAATATGTAAAAATATTAATTTTGATTTTGATATAAAATTGCATACCTAAAAATAAAATACTTTCATATTGTTTTTTTTTTTGATTATTGACTAGTTAAAGTATAACAAAATCATAAATATTTTTGGTTAGGTTAACTATCTAACTTTTTGATTTTTAATTTATCAGAGTAAAACTATTTTTATTCAAATTAATTTATAATATTTTTACCTTGATTTTATTTCCTTGCTTATTGTGACAGTAACTAATTATTTTGTACTACTTATTACATTTTATCATGGTTTTGAAATTTAATGGAACAATATTTGTTGTACTAAGTAATTATTATTATTCTATTTTAAGTAAATAAACATAAAGAATACAGACCATACAATTATAATGATATAGTGATAAAAACTAAAAAAGATAGTTACATTTATAACATAAAATAGTTATATATATATAAATAGTTATTGAAAAATATTTACACTGTGGTTGTAAATGTTATATTTTAATTTTAAATTTGATAATGTGTTTCTAAATTCTCTGTGTAAAAATTTCTTACAATATTATAATATAATTTATAAAAATAAGTAGTAACTTACAGTTAATTTAGAAATGTTAACAAATATATGTAAATAATTAACTCTTTAATATTAAAGTGTATGACTTGATTAAAAAATAAGCAAATTGAGTCACAAAAATGAAATTTTAGTGTGCAAGCCAGTTTAACAACTTCTAAAATAAAAATAGATTCTTGAAAAAATCAGTTTTTAAACGTTTATTCAATAGCTTTTTTGATAGTATTTATGATGTCTAAAATATATACATAATATTATTAGTCCATGAGTAATTAATCTATTTATTAGCTATGCTATACTTTTAAGTGTTGTTTTCATCCATGGTAAATGTTTATCTATTTCAATCACTTATAGTATGTTCATTCAAACCAAAGGTTTTAATTATGACAAATTTTCATATTTGATTGATTGTTTATCATAGTATTTAAATTAATTACTAAATCTAAATTATTATTTTTAGGCTTACATGAGGATAAAACATGAATTCAGATTATAAATGGAGAGAACAATCATCATCAAGAATGAACGAGCCAAAAGCAAGAGATTCCTCAGTTGAAAATGGAGAACATTTATCTACTACTAACAATTTTGCCCGTAGACATCAACGAAATTTATCATTGCCCGTTAACAATGTTTTCCAACCAACAGTGGTATTAATAATTAAAAAATTTTGATATGAATACAATGAATTAATTTAAATACTTTTTTTTTTTTTAGTCAAAAGTAGATAATTTAACTACAATGTCCAATTCTCGAGGTGAGTTTATAAATAATACTGTTTAATGAAAATAAATAAAAAATTTTAAAATAAAGATTTAAGTATAATGCTATTTTTGAAAAAATAAAATTGTGTATATGTAGTATTGTATACCTTACACTCTGCCTTACACGTAAATATAATTCATAATAAAAAAAATAAAAATTTAGATTTTGAACTTTTATGACAATTGTAAGAGAGTAAAAATTTGTATTGGTTCATACAGTATTAAAATGTAATAACATTTAGAAACTTAACTAATCATAAATTTATTTATTTAATTTTTTTTACACAATTCTTTATTTTATTTTATTTTTTTAGGCAATGGAGTATCTTATTCTAGCCCAGTTCACAAAAATTACCAAGAAATAAATGATTGTGATAATGATTCCTCTTCCAATAGTGATACTGGTAGTACAGGTACTTATATTATTGAGCGAAATGATTTGACCAGTGATAATAAATCTGAACCATTGCTTGATTGTGATGATAATATTGATGATTTTAAGAAATCAAATTCAATGGTTAAGGTGATAAATCTTTTTAAATTTATTTAAAAAAAGTATGTTTTTTTTTCTTTTCTGAATATATTTGTTTTTATAGAAATTACGATCTAGTTGGGTCAATGAATGGCATTCAAAATTGAATCAAAACAAAACTTCTTATTCAAGTGCATTGCCTCTTCCAAAATCTGGTAAATTTAATAATGAATTCATTGATTTCAATGATTATTCATAAATAATAATTTTTTTTTTTTTTTAGATTTCAAACCAAATTCGCCAATTTTACCAAAGCATACAAGAAAATCAAATATTCCACTTCCCCATGCATCTAGTATAAAAGACTTGAGTGTATGTATTTTGTAAAAAAAAAAATGAACGAACATTCAAACACATATATTATATGTACTCATTTATTTTATTTCAATGCTATAGGAAAACAGTGTCAAAAGTGCAAGCAGTGATGATGATACCAGATTATTACTAAAAGATGCAGAAAATTGTGTATCTATTTTGGAAGCTAAAGTAGACAAAACTAGTCATGCCTCTATTCAATATAACCGTACATTTAAGTATGTGATTTATTTACAGTTTTCAAAATTAAATTATTGATACCAAAAATAACATTGAATTATTTCAGTTTGCGCCGTGATAGGTTTTCAAAGCCATTACAAGATACGACTAAAAAAAAAGTTGAACCAAAAACTGCCAACGATAAACCTAATTTATACAAGCAGTCAACCCCAAATTTAAGTTCTTCGCTGTCAAGAGTTGATTGTGGACGTTATAGTCTAAGAACATCTAGAGCACCTCAACCAAATTCAGTATAAAAGATTATTTTTTTTCCCAACCAAATGCAATAAAAAATAATTTTAATTGACTCTTCTATAATTTCAGTCACCATTGTTGTCTGCTCGTAAAAATTTATCGTCAAAAAAAAAATGGAATTCTAGTATACTTTGTAATAAAATCCAAACACCTAACAAAGAAACAGAATTGGAAAATTGGAAACGTCGTAAAAATTATGATCCAATGAAAGCAGCTGCTCAAGGGAAAAAAAAAGATCAACAAAAACAGTCGTTTTCTAAGGAGTAATTTATTATTTAATATATATATATATATATATATGTTACCGGCAATATGGATAATCCAATATTTTGCAAAATGCCTAGGTATTATGTATAATGCTAAATGTGGAGTAGGCAATATGATGAAAACAAACAAAATTGGGCTTCGCCTAATTAACTTAATAATAACCTACTAAGTAATTAATAGTAATAACTAATGACTTTACTTATCATTAATCATAAATGTGCATGCACGATTCAACGCAATAAAGATTAATATTCTTTTATTACTATAATTCTGAGGTACAATATTGAACGTATCAATAATTTTATTAAAATATCGTAATTTTTCTCATTTTCATGTCTCGTTTTGGTGTTGCAACTATGCATATGATTAATATGAAGTAAAATTTTTATAACCAACTACAAACTTTTTTTAAAAATTTGGTGACTAATACTAGTTTTTTATCTGATGAACAGTATAATGAGTTGATAAAAATTCAATCCACAAAAATTGATCAAGGATTTTTAAAATGTGTTTTTAAGTCCAAGTGTCAAAATAAAAATTGTATTTGCCTTAAAAATAACATTTTGTGCACTTCAAATTGTCACTTTTCTACAACATGTTATAATAAGTAAATAATAGTTTAAGTAAAATATTTATATTATAGTAATAATATAATAATAGATAACAATTAAATTTTGTCTGTAATATGAGTAATAATGTACAATAATAATCATAATAATGTATAATAATTATAAGAATCTTAATGTAATATAACATATAATAAAATGTTTTGTACTTTATGTGGTGATCGTTGTGCAGGACACTACGATCGGTAACACATTAATTATTTAACGACGTAGCACGTTGTACGTAATCTTGAGACGTGTTGAGAGAGATAGGTAATATTAATAATTGAACACTCTTAATTAAATACTTAGAAAAATTACTGGTTTATTGATTTAACACTTAGAATAAACACAAAATATTAATAACAGTTAAAAACTAGGTAGAGAATTATTACTCGCGACGATGTGGCTGTTACAATGTCCACGACGAGCAATAATTTATTTAACAGGGGAAATGATCAGTCTAACTACCTATCTACATCTGAATAATTCTAAATGCTCAAATGACGTAAAAATGGCCTAATTCTAATATTACTTTATTTTGCCCTCTATTGAGCATTATTATGTAAAGACGTGAAACTACTTGTTGTTTTCACCTTTACCCTGGTTTTCCTGCGTATATGCGAATTTAATATATTATCTATTTTAATCTATTAAATAATCAAAATATTATTTTGATTATTAAATTTAGCTGGACCTTGGCGAATTTATTAATATGCGTAATAAGTTATTTTTGATTATTAAATATTGATTAATTAAATGCTGATTATAAAATACGCCTAGCCTTGAGCTTACTACATTTACCTAAAAAAAAAATTGGCATTTTGCATAATGCCTAGGCATTTTGCAAAATACCTGAATTATCCAAATTGCCAGTAAAGTATATATATCTTATTATATTTGCTTACACAGAAAAAGTGTTGACAATTCTGGTAATCCTGTGTTGAGATCTGCATCTTTCCATGGCAGAGATGGTTTTTCCCATGAAGATGACAGTGATGCATGGGAACAAAAAAGTTTACATTTTTACCAACACGTTGATGACTGGCATAAATTACCACAGCCACCAGCAGTGAGTCTATAATAATGTTTTTTTATCTAAATAAATATATTGGAATAATGGCTGATAATTACTGAAGTCTAATGGTTTTATTTTGCTACTAATTTAGACATCAAGAGATCATTCACCTCCACTGTCAAAAAATGAAAATCTTTCATCATCGGCAAACTCATCACTGGCGATGCTTCCTACTTTGGTTGGTTAAAATTTATTTACAATATATTTAATATACATATATATTTTTTATTTATGTTTTTATCATTTTTACTATATTGTAATATAGACATCAGCACATAACGGTTCACCTACGTTTTTGCATAAATCCATGTCTGCATTTAATAGCTCAACGAGTTCATCTCTAGATGTCAGTTCAATGGTAAAAAGTTATTAAAACTTTTCTTTAAAACTGTGCTAATAATAAATTTCACTTTCAGCCCGATGCTATGTTTGATGACAAAGACTCATTAGATATGGTTCATTTATCATATAAAGTCAAAAAACGTGGTATTGAACTTATAAAAAGGATGAGGTTTGTAATATTTCCTAACATAGTATTCTAGTATTTATAGTATTATTTTTATTAGGACGGAGTTACCTGAATATGATGATATAGAACTCACCCGGGGTATTGCAAGCATAGATTTAATGGATGATACATACCATGTTCCAATGAAATCATGGGGAATGTCAGTTTCAGCAACTAATATTAACTGTGTGGATAATATATTAAGAAGTAAGTAGTAAATACTACAAAATAATACAAACATTTGGCTGTCTTAAATTATTATTAACTATTAAACTATTTAAATATGCCCATTAGAGTATCTGATAATTTAAATGTTGTAATAATAATAATATTTCATCTACACCCAATAAAGGGCAATTGAGTTTACAGTATAATTAACAAACACTATAAGAATATATTTATATTATAATCATATAACAAAGTTTATATTTGAATATAAATAATAATGTATTAAATAGATTGTAACATTTTGTTAAATGAAATTTGTTTATTGAGATTTAACATAATCACAAGATATTTTCAGTATTACATAAAGTGTACATATTTTGTAAATATTTTAATTCTAATAATATTACTTCAAATATCATGTTTTGTAAGAGTGTTATTGAGTACAACCTAATTATTTTAAAAACTTACATCTAATTTTCTTTTTCAAATTATTGTTTTCCTAATAGCCCTGTTCATGATAATTAATGTACCATTACACTAAAAACTCTCAATAAAATATGTATAGTTAATCATATATTACAATTTATTTATTTAATTTGGTTTTACTTCCTAAAAATTGTAATTTGTTAATTTGTAACATTATAATCAAAATGTAAATTAAATTAAATTCTTCTTTAACGCTTTTTATAAAGAATATTAATTTTCCTGTGTTAAGCCTAACTAAAATGTTTCATTATATTTATTTATTTTAACTTTACCAATGTTAAAATTAATTATCAAATGTAATCATAAAAATAAATTACCAGTTTATATTAATGTTTTATACCATATTTATAAATTTTATATCCATATAACTTAGTATTTGAAAGTATTGGTTATTTTTAAAAATATATATATATATTCCATGATATTTGAATCAAATTTGTTTAAAAGTTAAAGCCAAAGAGTATTTTGGATGAATATCTTATTAAACAAATTTTAAGTAGTTGATATGGTAGTTGCTATAATTGAGTAGTTTTACAATTTTTACTTTCAAGACTTTATAAAAAATATATAATTTAAAGTAGGTTAGAATCAAAATATTATAATAAAATATACATTATGTAATCAAATAGTGATTATTTCTGTGTTAAATATTTGCTTGTATTTATTTACTAATTTTTACTTTTCTTTTTTTTTAGTACTTGAAAACGTGTTGTTCAAAGACTCTGATTGTAGAGAAAATAATTCAGACGATTGAACTTATTTTTAATGAACTCCAAATAACATAAAACTTTATGTATTGTTTTGTTTTTTTTTTTTTTTAATTTTTATGTTATATTATTGCAATGCCAAATTTACCGTGTGATAAAGTATGATAGTGTAATATTTTATTTTAAATAATTGATAATAGTTTTAAATTACTTGTTAAATAATACTTCTTTAAAATATAAATAATCAGTATTATTATGCTATATTTATATATAAATTAAGTTATTTTCTCGTTTTGAAAATATAATATTATACCATTTAATACGTTAATTTATTACTATTAATATCCTCCAAAGAATTGATTAATTTTTTTTATTTTCATATTGAGCATTTTAACGGACAGTTGATGATTTCTTATAGGGTGGTTTGTATAGAAGTTTACTGAAATGTAGTGCATGATTCCGATGGCAAGACATAAATTGTTGTTTTCTCGAAACCGTATCTACTTTGGTGTATTTATGTTTTAGCATCAGTAGAGATTTGTAGATTACACAAAAGATCTCCATTAGGCTGACTAAACTGCAACCAAGAAACAAACTTGCCATCCCTCCAAACGTTACTAATGTACAGAAAAAATCAATTTTACTAACTAGATATTGAAGGTTTAGATATATATTATTATGGTATGTATATTTGACCACTTAAGTTTATTTTATGTACAGCATTATGACCAAAGACCGGATATAATAGATATTGCAACTTTTTATTGATACCAGGAAAATCAAATATGTTTACGAATCGGATTAATTACAGTCTTCCTATTTAATTTAATTTTTTGTATACTTCACATGACAAAATAAACAAATTATTATTTCTAAAGTAATTTTACAATAAAAATATAACTATGACATACATTTTTACTTGTAGTTAAATGTAGTTTAGTATTTTTAAAATTATATAAGTTTAGAAGTATCAAATAGTCAATTACTTATATAGTTTAAACATATTTATTGAAATTGAAATTATTTTGATAAATATTTCCGGTCCCAATGAGAAAATAGTTAAAGATATAAAGATAAAATATGTTTTAGAAAAAAATGAAGGATATAAAATTATTAAAACTTACTCTGGGGTTGTGACAGGAAATCATAATGTTAATTTAGATATGACATCAAATTTTTAAATTATTTTAAATATGCACCAATAACAAGTGTGGAAGTTTAACGTACTTTTTCATTACATAAACATATTTTAAGTAACAGATGATTTAATTTTCAAGAACACTATTTAGAGATGTATATAATATATATATAATATATAATTATGTTTAATTATAATAATTTATAATTTATAATTATAAATTTTAATTCAGAAAAATTATATATTTTGTAAATCTTGTATATAAAAAAAATTTATGAAAACCAAAGTCAGTTCGTCTGGCCGTTCTATCCGGCCGATTTCCTTCATTTTTTTTTTTTTTAACGAAAGGTATTTAGATACAGATATGTCATCAATCATTGAAATTTACTTGACTTCCACCAACACAATTCTTCCCTGTACATTTCTTAGGAAACACATTCACTCAAGCAACATTCGAATTCTCATAGCTCCTCTTCTAATAAATGAATCTTGATCGTTTCACTCTCAGAACACTCAGTGGATCAAGCTTTTTATTTTGAGCTATTAACTGCTTAAATTTATTGAGTTTGAGGAAAATTATGTGTGCATAATCAACTTTACTGAAATTTTTTTAAATACTGCATTCTCGTTGGCTCTTACCCAGTGATATAACAACAAACTACTCACAAACACTAATACTATTATTTATATTAGCTAATATTGTTTGGAAGGAAGCACCGTAAAATGATTTTATGTAATAATTACACCCTCTCATAAATAGTCTATCCTAATGCTGCAGAACATATATTTTAATAAACACTCTGTCATTTCGATATGTTTTTCAATTTTATACTCATTTATTGATTTGTTCCTTTACTTTTAATTGTATAGATAAATTATCTATTGCGAATTTTCGCAATGGATATACTAGTATTATATTAATGTCCATAATATTATTTAAGTAAGCAATTAATGATTATATATTTTATAAGATTTTACTATGTAATTTTAAATGTGTTTTTCGTTGCAATTTCGATAAATTTTCATTACAATATTAACATATTTTTAGTGCAATTCTAAGATATTATATCCAGTCTTTAATTATGACACATGATGACACGATGAAAGTTCATGCTGTACAAAAAAATTCATCAAAAAGTTGTTATATGGATCAGTACTATCTCCAACTATTTAATGACACGACTTTTGTTTTTTTAGCTAAGACCCGTGTTCGCACGCTCACCCAGTAAATCCTGCACGGTGTACTTCATGAACCGTTGATAGCTGATGGCGAACCGTTCTTTGTAGTGTATATCGATGTGCATGTAAGCGTTCGGGAACAACGACGATTCCATATAATCCCTGTGCGGGACAAGAAAAATCGTTATCATTAACAACCGTGTGTACGTTGAACGATCTGCAGCCGGGCACGTGGCCGGGGAAAATCTCTATCTTAGGAGTGAGTGGGTGGCCAACGGTTCCGAGTCCTTATATAATTTTCCGTAATTGAAACTTAAAAAGCCCGTAGAGGACACATTTGACATTAGTTCTCACTTAACATAATGTCTGGGTGATGCCCGTTTCCACTAAAAGTGTATCATTCCCTTTTCCACTAATATCCGTTTCCCCCAAATGAGATATTGACCACGTTTTTACTAAAACAATTGTATACTACGCTTAAATTAAAAGCTATAGCACAGAATCAACTTTATTTAACATATACTATTAATTCAATAAATGTAAATGCATTATATAATATATACAATATAGGTTGGAAAATGTTAAATTTTATTTAAAAAAATGGTCAAATGTAAAAAGATGAAAAAATAATATATTATGATAAACGATACCTTAGTTATATAAATTGTAACTATATACAAAATTATATGATATTTGTTAACTGATCCAATAAAAAATTTAAAGTTGTTTAGTCCTAGCGTTTTATTTCCACGTTTACTTTCGATAACTTTAGCCATCATAGAATTATAAATTTTAAAATGCATGTTTTATTTTAACACACACGCAGTTGTAATGCACTATTTAAACTGTGCCATCTTTTCACTTATTCTTAAAGTATTTGATTATTAAGATATTATAATGGTTAATGGACATAAAAGTACATGCGTAAGTACGATAACGGTTTAACATACAATTAAGTACAATAAATGTATAATATATATTATATTGTGTGCAAGGCCGTATCTAGAAATTTTTTTCGGGAGGGTTCCAAAACATGTATATTATAATTTTATTGAATTAAGATGTTAACTTTTGATATTTGGTTAAAAATAAGAGAAAAAGATTTAATCTTCTTTTATTAAAATTAATATCATATTTTCATATGATATTATGATATTAAATTAAAAGCAGTCAATGATTAATGGGAGCTTAAGTCATTTTTGACTGAAAATATTTATGTTGGTATTAAAAATAAATAAGTATTTTAAACATTCTTAAAATATTGAAGACATTTCGGGGGGAATCTAGACACCCTGGACCCCCCCCCCCCAGATACGGCCTTGATTGTGTGTATATTTATATATTTTACATCAATCCGAAAATCTCATGAAAAGTATAGGTATTTTATCTTGATGGAAACGGATATTGATGAAAAAGGGAAAGATACACTTTTGATGGAAACGGGTATTGGTGGAAAAGGGAAAGGTCTATTTTTGGTGGAAACGTGTTATGCCCTTATGTCTACTACAAACAGACCCAGTATTGAAAATTAAAATGACGTATGTTCTGCGAACTTAACGTTTAATGTAATAATAATATATCCATGCATAAGTTGTGTAATAATCGAAATCGCAATAAATCGTGTTGTCGAACAGTTGTCATCGGAACTTTATTCGCTAAAAAGTACTCAAATATACGTGTACATATGCGTTAAAAAAACATCATAATACGCGGTATAATGTGGAGTAAAAATTTGGAAAATATGCGAAAATATGCAATTTGTTGAATAAAATACAATCTACATAAATTTGGTACACGGGGAAAGTAATAAACACCGAACACATTGTTGTCTTCCCGTTATACAAACTGTACAATCTTCATCAAACATTAATTGGGTAACTATTCAGAGTATACATTTTTAAATACTGATAACGATCATTTACTAACCATCACTATGGTGAAATAATAATGCCTTGGTAAATTTAGATAAAATTAATTCGTCGACAATCAATAAACTACAATTTCTCGTTACAGTAGAGATAATAATATCGTTAATTGCATCGGGAGTAATATTAAAACAGCCATCGATGAGTTAATTAATTTCTTCGAATTATATAAAATGTGGAATTTTGGTTGTCATATTCGTACACCTAATAATTTTTGTTGGACTATGAATTTGTAAAAAAAATTGTTCCATTAAATCTATGAAATACTCATTTAAAAATTATAATTACGTATAAGTAAACCTAAAACATGCGAATTCCTGTAAAAAACAACGAAATGTGCAAAACTACGCAACAAAAATGTTTATATTTGAATTCTGGGCACTAAGGAGATCGAATTTGTATCGAATCAGAATTTTAACGTGCACCACTTTCTCAAAAAATATTCAAATGCTTTAAGTTCCGAGCTTTGGTTATGGCGATAGATTTTTGACACTTAATAAAAAAAAATTCGTATACGAATCTAGATGGGGCGACCCGGCCATGGGTCGGGGTAAACGTAAGGGGAGCCCGGCCCAGTCAAACCCCTCGCTACGTCCCTCACCCGACCACGGCTTGCGATGCAATACGCTCCTCGTGTTTACGGGTAAACGTTGATCAGAATTGTCTAATCGGGTGTGACGAAACAGGTGAAATCCGTTTAGAATTCCGGATCATCCGGTTTTCCGCGGACCAGGAAAGTTCGATTTATCGTGAAAACCTGCCACGTTACACACGGGAAACGCATTGCTGAATGGACGATTTTAATTCGTAAACTACTGTACTTCGGAAACATTTTCATTTCCGTCGTGTACCCGATAAATGAGCACGGGTGCGGGCAACTGCAGTTCATGTAAACGGGCACGCTCCACTCGGGAAATCCTGGCTCGTCTTTCGGTGGCTGGGTGTTGCGCTGGAGCACTAAAACACGACCAACGGTTATTATTCCACCGGTCTATGCCGACCGTTTTATTAGCGATCAGTGTTGACGAAATTCACTCGAAGAAACGTACGGATGTATATGTTTTTTTTTCAATAGATTTAATGTAAATATTTTTATTGTTCGAAAAATTGTCCATTTGTAAAGGAGCGTCCAGACGGAGCAGCTTTTGCCTCGCGGCATGAGTGCGAATACGTGAATACATTTTCCGCGGCTTTTTTTTTGATGCCACGCGGCATAATTTCCTATTAGTCCTAATAGGCGGTCTACATCAAAGGAAAGCCGTTCGCCTATGCCGCGTGTCTTTGTGGATGTATTTTCGGCAAAGCCACGCGGCATCAGTACTCATTTTTTAAGTTGGTATTTAAATTATTTTTTAAGTAATTAGTAACGGAACAAACTTTTTTCACTGAGGTAAAACTGATTTTTGTAGTAATCTCCAGAAGACACAACTTTTATTCTATCAAAATGTCGATACTGAAGATTCTCTGTTATTAAAAATACAAAGATCAATAATGAATTTTAAAAAATCTTTAATTTCATGTTTTTTAAGATTCAAAAATATAGATTACTTGCTGATCTCGTGCACTTCGTTGCCCATTAAAAGTGACACAACTCTTTAGTATTTATGAATAATATATTATTATCATAGCTTTCAAACAGCTCGGGAAATAAATGCCGCACCGTGTGGACGCGTATTTACCGCGCGGCAAAAGCTGCTTCGTCTGGACGCGTCTTAATACCGTTTTTATGTTTAACCATTAAGTATGTAAAATATGATAAAAAAAAACATGTTTTCGCATTATCTTTCGTAAGACATAAAATTAAAATAAAAAATGAACGATAAGAACCCCGGTCAAGTTATCTACAATATCTAATAGGTATACCGCACTCAAAGTTTTTAAAGCGTAAATCATACGTACCGTCCATTTTCCCCAAACATTGAATGTGTTCAATCCCACAACACTTCCACTCGGTTTCTGCGAAAACAAATAAATATACGGTTGAAAGCTAAATAGAATAATATCACGGTGTATAGTATATTGGTTCATAACAGTGGTTTTCGACATTTTTAACAATGTCTTCGACAAAATGTTCGCTGTACACCAATCCATGTAAAACGTGAACAATGTTATATGCGTACACTGTTTACAGTCTACTCAATTAGAGGGTTAATTATTGTGAAATATTTTAGTATAACCGATCGATCGAGACGGCTGCGTCGGACTTACCAACAATAAATTATATTGTACGTATCCGTGATAAGTTCTATCAGTTTTCATCGAATACCGATAATAATACTGGTAAACTATTACTGGTAAAGTAAAATAATACTGGTACTTATAAAACTATCTATAGATTTATCGTAGAGCACCGGTTGAAAACCACTGGTTTATAATGTGCTGTAATATAACTGTATTCGTTTTATACGACTATTAAAAATACAGTGCGTAAACGCTTACTAAGAACACTTATTACCTTCGCGTAAAGACCTGCGATTTTCATTATGTTTTTAGTATGTTTTAATTGCATAAGAGTACCCATTTTTATGATCTTTTTAAACTCTATTAAACAAGCGCAGTACAATTTTTTTTTTCTTAACTGGCAACCACTTATTTTTCGCCTAACGTTTTAATGAATGTTGGTAGCTTAATCAACTTCCTAAGTCCAAAATTGACTAAGTTACAGCAGTTTTAGAAAACCAGTTGTAAAATGCGCAAGATTTTCAGTATTTTTACTGTAATTCTGAAAATAATTGTTCTAGGGTTATTCAGACTTGACATTTTTACCACATTTTATTAAGGTAAGATTTACACGTTATTATAATTTTAACCACTGTTAATTTTCGCTTAAATTTATGCAAGAATTATATCTTATACTATAAGACTTATAGCATAAAAACCGAAAATAAGTATAATAACTTAGTTATTTATTTCGCTAGATTAAATGGATCTTTTGGATTAAATGTATTAATATTTAATAAAACATGTAATTTGTATTTAAATTATAAGTTTATTTAATTATTAATTAATAAAATTATAAAATCAATTTAAAAATTAAAAAGATAAAATGATAGTAGTATGCAACAAAAAAGACTATGCGGCGTTGAATCATGTTTAGTTAACTAACCCGGTTGACAACAATTTGAACGATTCATTGTTATCCAAATTACTGTTTCAATATATTTATTGTAAGATTTAACATTAATTTAAAGCATAATTTTTTTTCTTTCTATAATAATCGTGAACGTAAACACAAACCAGTAGAATATTACGTACCTACCGGTGCCTCTTATAATAATACATAATTTTTTGCGTGGTTAACCTATTCTATAAAAAAAAATGTAAAAAAAATGTTTCTTTCAGAATCAAACTCGATGAAAATATGTATCATAATTAAAAACATGGCTGCATCGTTTTAAGAACTAGAAGAAGTTTACAGGTGAATTTTACCAATTCAAGTTTTTGGTGATACAGCTGAAAGGAGTTTTTCAACATTAAAAACAATAAAAACTTACGACCGATCAACTACATATTTTCGATATCAGTCCTCACAATATTCTAAATTAATTTGCGTGCGTGATTAATCGAGAAGATTGCATTTTTCTATAAAAATGTATACTTTATATCATTATTGATTTTGGGGGTTATATTTATAATTATAAAAAAATTATAAAAAACAAAATTAATATTCCCAGATCCCCTACTGTGAGTAGTGCAACAACTGCGCCGATGTGTTCAAAAATTGTACGCTGGGTAACAGTGTGCGTGTACCACGATAAAGTTCGAGACCACAGGACGACGGAACATTACCATCATGTCCTTCGCGTTCCACGTCGAAATAGTACGGGACACATCCACACATTTCTCTCGTGGTCCTTAGCCTGCACCTGCTGTAGCAGTTATCCTCGGAGTTGCTCCTGTACAACGGCAAGTTCACCTGCGCCGCCGACCTCTCTACATACAAGAAGCACTTGCGGTCCGTTTCGCCGAGCCGGTAGATCGACTCGTCCGCACCGATGTGGCTAACGCTCACCGATATCTGCGACGACTGGTTGATTTCACTATAGATCTTGTAACTGCCGGAAATGTCTGGGAAATCTTCGGGCGTGTGCACCATTATCTGTAACGACGGCGATCGAACCGTTATGCGATTACGTGTGGCATAATAACGATAATAATAATTAATAATCGTTAACAATCATCATTGTTATTATTATTATTATTATTGTTATTAGTATTGTTATCAATTATTTGCGGTAAAACGCGATGCATGCATGCGTCCTGCAGAATAAAGCGCGCGTACGTTGAATCCCTTGGACCGCGTGTCGACCGGGGAGTATTCGGTGATCAGACTCTTCAAGATCAGTTCCAGCCCGGTCATCTTGCCCGCGGCGTTATTTCTGAGCGGTATCAACATGTCGTTCGGCCCGGCCACCGGAGGGTTGAACTCACTGTCACTGAAAGCAAATAAAGTAAATGTCTTACCGCACGCAATGGCGTAGCTGGACGGGAACGGGCTCCGGCGGCAGCGTATGAATTAGGCCCCCTAACGAATGTTATCTTTGTACAAAAATTCAAAATATACCAACGTCGTATGGTTCTTTCGATCAAATTCATTTTTGTAGTACATTTTTGAAGTACTAAATATTCAACGCGAGTCACATCGAAAGGGCTCACGGGCCGTGTGTCCGCGTGTTTGAGACCACTGATATATATAATTCGGAATAATATGTAAATATTTTATCTATGTATAACATGTTCAAGCAAAATCTGTTTCGCGACAAAGAACCGTAGATTTTACTTTTCTATTCGGTAGACATCAAATCATAACTATCGCTTAAAACGCCACCCTTGGTTATTGTTGTAGATAACAATCACGTTTACAGTAATATAAGTAACGCACTGCCTTAGTGCATAAAAATCAAAACAATGTTAATCTTCCGTCGGATTTACTTAACACTTCTTTCCGACGTCTTGCTGTTAAACGAATAGCAAAACCCTTCTTCGGTACGCTGTAGCCGTATTAAATCCGAACAGTTAAACCCAGTGCCTCTCCAATAACAGCTGTGGAACATTTCATCAATAGTCGGCATTAACTGTAAAACGCGTGCGCTGTTGTTAATAATTCCGACAGTTGAGTGTTATATTTTGTATACGTGCATTACGTATTACTTGTAACATAATGTCGGTGATGTTCTCTAAAGGTAAATTAATCATATCGTTTTTTATCGTAGAAAACCGACAGATCCTTGTAGTACGGATATTGTAACATTCCCATCGTGTATAAAGAGTTTTCGTATTTTTTCCTCAATTTCGGATCATGTTCGTATTTACTTCAAATAAAACCGTACGATTTAGTTATACAAAATAATTTTATTGTAATTTAGGTTGGATTGTTTTCACGAATATTTGCGCTGGTAGAAATAATATAATCTATAAAAATGTTTTACCATCTAAACACAACGATTCATTTTAATTGATTGCATTCGAATCTATACAAATATACAAATATATATGACAAACATAACATCATAAGGTTTATATAAAATCCCAATCTCAACTATTCGAAAGTATTATGTACCATGATGACATTTTAAGTAAATATATTTTATTTTATTATAAGTATTATTAATTATTATTTATGAATAAACATGTAAGTAATTAATGACAAACTTGCTCATATTTTTTATCAGTTGAGTTAACTTATTGAGAAATTCGGCATATTTATATTGGTTATATCAATATATTTATAAAACTATTAATTTGATAATATGTACGTTGAAAATGTTAAAAAAAATAAAACACAACAAACGATATTTACAAATATTTATCTATTATAGGTAAAACTACAACCATATAAATAAAATAGTATGATCGTGTGTTTAGAATAGTTTCATCAAAATTGAAATTAAAATTTTTTTAAAAAATTCAGTTGTACTTCAAAATCATCCGTTTAGCCTTTGAATACAGAATTTTGTTAATAGAACATATAGTAACCGCAGGAAAGTCGATTTTGCTAAGTGGATATCGGGGATCATCAACAATAATTTGCGTCGAAGAATATGAAAATGTTTCCCACGAAGCATACAGATGCACCAAAATAGTGCCGCTAGCTACTGCCAATAACACTGCCCACATTAACCTAAAAACGTAAAAAAAAAGTGTAATAAATGTGGTCGAATGCACACGATCCCGTATAATATATTGGCAAGTTTCCATGTTCTATCTATACATGTACAATAATTTAAATAATGCAATAAAATATATGGTTTTTGTTCTTTGACAATGTCATCAGTGGCGGCGCCAAGGACTGGTCAGGTAGGACCATGGCCCTACCTGAAAATAACTGGCCATATCATATCATTGGTCTGACCATAAGCATAATAATAAGATGATTTTTCGTACGCAGAATTATTTTAACGTAATTTTTTAATAGTGTTGTAATCATTTAAATTTTTTTTTTTTTTGTTAAAATAAAATTTTTTGTGGCCCTATCTTATAATTGTCGGTCTCACTTCCTGTTGACCCTATATACAAAAAAAAATCCTGGCGTCGTTACTGAATTTCGTTGTCGATGTCACAGCTATTACGGTATATCGTGTTTATAATTTAATATTTGTAGCTGGTACACTGCACTGAACTCTCGAATCGTCTCCCGAACGAACTGGGTACAACATTATAATGCAATAAAGATTCGAATTCAATTTGATAACTCGGCGACGTGGCATGCGTAACGTTGTGATAAATAATAGCTTAATAAAAATGAAATCTGTAGTAGCAGGATTTGAGTATACATCAGCACGTTTTTCCTAAGGGAAAAGTAAGTATTATTTTTTCCGTAAGTATTATTTTTTTCTCCGATCGTTTTGTTCTAATGCAATATTATAGTAGGGGAACTTATAAAAAAAAAATAAAAAAAAATACGCCTACTATAAAAATAAAGCTAAACATCTCGTAATATAACGAAAAATTAAATGTATACATGTGCCCACGATGTAACAAAGTTTTGTTTGGTCAAAGCTAACAAATTTTTACAATCTTAGAGTTTGATATTTTTTTAGAGTCCTCCGTTTGGTACGGTATAAACTGCAATGCAACTCGTATGCGAATCGAGCAAAATCTTACCTTTCCCAAGGTTTCGATTCCTCATGAACAACGTACCGGAGACCGTGCAAGGAACTCTTTTCGCAATAATTTTTCCAGATAAGTTTTATAGACGCCATATGATGGTATAAAATATTATTTATATAATATTTTAATTTTTTTTTTTTTTTACTGTGATAGTTAATGCGTATACTTACAAACCGTTATAGTATTTAACGAAAACATAAATGATTTTAAACGCTAAACAGACATTTTTCATAGATGAAATATTTTTTAAATAAATACAAACATTCAAATGTTTAATAACGTTGTATGTAAATAAAACAAACAAATAAAAAAGGCAATGATTGGACGTAGATATGGTAGTAGTATTAATCGACTATTTTTCGTATACATTAAATTTTAATGAAATAAATGGGCGTACAGGTTAGTCGAATGCGAGCTTTTCGCTAATATTTATTTTACATTTTTACCAGTTGTTTTATGCGGAGTTTTGTGTTCGTTTTCAGCCCAATCGAAAGTTGTTTGATTTAATGTTTTATTCAAAGTTTAAATTAATAATTAACAATGTATTATCGTCGATTTAGATCAGTGTAGCTGTACCATTGCTGCCGAAGTCTTATCAAATTAATCAAAACAAACTACGTTTGACGATAGTCTCGTTTTTTCTAAATGAGCGTAAAATAAATATACTTTAAAAAGTTACACAAAAAATATTACATATCGCTAAATTTTTTTGTTCTTCCGAGGAATCCCAAAGCTCATTTTAAACCTTTATTATTTATTTATTTCGATTTATTTCGTCTGAAAAATCAACTGGAATTTAAAATAAAATACTTCACGTATTGGTCTAAAATTTGATCGATTTATTTTATTATTTCAAAATGGATTTGAGTAAAATACTGAAGCGCATTACAATATTAAGCTGTACATATACTCACTAGTGGTTACTGATCTTACGCATATCACAATATTCAAAGCTGAATACATTTTTAGATCATTTTATTTAGAGTTGCAATAATTGTTCACGCACTAAAAAATCGTAATAATGCATGTGTGTAGTATATAAGAAATGAGAAGGCAACCAAGCGTGTTCGACGAACACAAATGTCTTACATCATATACATGACTCGTATAGTATCCATATTTAGTATAGTAATGTATGTACAGTAGTTAAAAAAAAAAAAATCAGATCAAATTGTATTTATTCATTACCCATGATACCAGATAAAACATCTTCGAAATCGTTGTCAAAGGATGCCAAAAACAATCGTAAAACAGTGGAGACAAACGCAGTATTGTTTGGAGCTCGGATTTGTGAATTTGACTCGACTAATCTATTGTATGTGATACAATATGGATATGTGAGACATGCAAATGCGAGCCATTAAAAATAATACGTTTGGATTGACGTTTTGAACGGGAAATCTCATCTTTAGAGGTCGCGCTACGAAAAAAAATCAAAATAAACATACAATTCTGGTAACATTTGTTCAGAAATGTCGAAGAAAAAACATAAACGAACGATTTATTTTCTTTTTTTCAATGTGCAATAAGAAATAAAGAACAATTACATTGCATTCTAATTGCGTGATTTTTATATTTATTTATTTTTGTGTCTTTTGGTATTCCTTAAAAGGGACTATTCATTTTTTTTAATGCATGACAAACATTTTTTATCTAATTGATTGATTAATCTGATTTGGTTCGTAAATAACATTAAACGTAACAATTACGTTATTTTAAATACGTAATATTTACGTACGTTTTGGAAGTTTGGCGTAAATATCAGAATTCTTTACCCGGAGCGCATGTGAAAGTGACCGCTAACCAAACGTAACTTTCAGACAAGAGACTACAGGCTACAACGGCCGTTCGGATTGCTGTGCTCCTGGTACTTTGGACTCGGTTGCGACGACGTAAAGCTCGCTATTTTGTCTCGCATTGAATTTAACGACTTTTCAACTTCAAGAATATTTTTCTTATTACATTATTTCCTGGTGTTCTTTTATTTTTATACAATAATAAATAAAATATCTACGTTTACAACGATAGATAGGGTTAGGGTTAGGTTAATAAATAAAAAAAAATGTAATATAAAATAATTAAAATCGGAAAAATCTCGTTTACAATTTACAATGCATTCTACTCAATTTTTCGGCAATTTTTCCTTACATTTGGAAAAATTATCGAGGTTTTAGTAAAATTTCTTAACCACAGACCTATTTCGAATCTAAAAAGTTGCTAGATGTTACTTTTGGACCAATATCGAAAACATTTTTACAGAAAGAAAACATAATACGGCCACTAACGGCCATTGTAAATCGATAAGACTCATTTATCAAACTCACTTTGAATCTATTATTAATAATAAATAAGCGACGGCATAGAAATTTGATCACGAAAGTATATTTTTAATTCTTAAAGAAAAAAAAACAAATCTTTTAATAAAAAATTCGTGAAAATATATATTTTTTTCGATAGATATTATAGTTTTTAACATTATAATTAATATGAAAATCGAGAAACATTTTGGAGAAAAAATAATCTTGAGCTCTCTCTAAAATATTTAAAACAATATTCAAGAACAGTTATCTCAGTATTTTGCATCAAGAATTTTTAGAGTTTTGATAGTGACAAATTTAATACAATTAATTAAATACACACAAATAAAATATTACGTTTTCACCAGGGCTCGGGACTTATAGCATTTAAAATCATTAAAATAAGCGCTTAAAAATATCATTATAAGCACTAAAGTAAGCATTTAAACAATTTTAAATTAATCAAAAATATTTATTAAAAAATAAAAAATAAAAAAAAAAAAAACTATAAAATTCTAACTAAAAAATCAAACAAAATTTTCATTTTCAAAACTTAAAGGTTTTTATGGATTTTCTAAGGTATTTTTCTGAAAAATAAAATGTAAACTGTTCTCTGTGCTCTTGATCATTCTGACGTTTGACACTCAGTTTTATTTTCAGCGTTGGAATATCTTTGTTAATCCTACAACGATGCCTTGGACAACGACGAACTATGTGACAACGTAAATAAGATAAGAATTATTTTTAATTTTAATTCTATCAAAAACGACTTTGCAGTAGAAAACTATAAAAACGTAAAAAAACTGATCATAAGCATTTTTTTGAAAAATTGCTGAAAAAAGCAAAAAAAGGCACTTTCATATTTCATAATTGTACATGATATAACTTGACATACACTTTTATAACAGTCTGCTACATTTTATGTCAATCCATAAAAATAAGCAAATGCTTTAACTCCCGAGCGCTGGTTATTACAAATTTATTATTACAAATAAAATATATATATAATTGAATGCTTCAATTACAAGCATTAGCATTAGATTAGTTAAAAAGGAAATGAAAAATGTAATAATACCCAATCCTCGGGTATTATTCGGCTGATAATTTTATATAGGTACCCGTATAAGTATTATTGTATCACATAATATTTGCGCTACAAAACAAAAATTGCATGTCTGATGAAATTTTACTACACCCGATCTTCACATATTACATATTAAATATATTATTCATATTCGATGTACGTTATATGTTTCACATAGCATAAATAAATAAATACATAAACATTTTTATTGTGCATTTAACTTGAATACATAGGTATTTTATTTTTTCTATACACTCTAAGTTCACTCTTAAATTATAACTTCTAGTGTTTAGTTTTCAATCATCAAATTTCAACATCCATAATATAATCAACGATTTTTATCTACTATAAAATGGTATTTAAAGTCTTTAAAACAGTTTGGATATCAATGCATTAAAATTATTTTTATAATTTAAGTTATAAAATACTATTTCTGCTAGTAAAATGTGTGTTTATTGAATATTGATTTTTTTCTTGCATATTTTAAGATATGTTGTAAAATGCTTAACCTATTAAATATGTCAGCAACTGCAACAACATTTTAATAATAATATTATAATCAGTAGTACTATAATATAATGACAAAGGTAAAAGGAACTATTGAAAAGATTTACCCTCTAAAAATATGTGAACCAAAGTCTTACTGATTTATGTTTATGTTTACTTAAATGTTTAATTATAATCATAAATTATTATATAAAAATTATTAAACTCGACAATATCAATATTTAACTAAAAGATTCATTTTTAAAAGGATGAACAGTATATTTTTTTATTAACAAGTTAAAAAATCTTCAAGCTTTCTTCAGAGTCTAAAATCAACAGATTATTGATATAAAACGAATTAAAATAGTTATTTGTATTATAAATGTTTTCACTAATTCTTATTCTTACTGTTTTTTACTACATATTAAAAAATTTTGTTCCATACCCAATAAAATTAAAAAAATCTAAGTTGAACAAAATTAAAACGGTATATTAATATATTATCTACGAATATTTAACGGAAATAAGAGTACTTATTTTTTTTAAAAAAAATTATCAATTTTGCCGAATTGTAAAACTTCGATAATGTCAAGTCTTTAAGTTTTTTTAATAAGATATACGGTTAGTCTAATATTCAATTTTAAAATAACGACATTATTTTACAGCTTATTTTAATTTTTCGGTTGTACCGGAATACTATTGATAATGTCAAAAAATAATTTCATGCCTCCTTAGAACTACCATCTACATCCAATTTCAATCATATGAGAGATACAAATATAATATTCGTTATTCAATGTTGATTTACTACACCGTGAATGAAAAATATATATACATATATATTATATGTATGTATTACTTGTACAAGAATAAAATCAGTCGATTTCGAAACCAGCTTCACTTGGCTCTAAACTTAAAACAATAATTTATAGATAATATGGACGTTACACGGGGGAAAAAATAAAACACGTATATACTATAGATTACAAGTATATTCGAGCATAGTTTTTATTTTATCTATCGTGTAAAATATATTTTACTAACAGGCTGGCATTCTCCAACCGACATAATAACGGTGCACTATCATTACTAATAACGTCGTGGACTATCGCTTGGCGGAATGTACAGAGGTCTGCAGAAACGGTACGTGTTATACCGACGGTACAGAACGAGTTTTTGCTGTTGTTGCAGTTGTTTCGAATCCGAGAGGACTTTGAAATATTTGTGTTTCAGCATCATCAATGATTTGTAAACGACATAAATGATCTCCACCATGCTGACCAAGCTGCATCCCAGAAACAAACTTGCCATTCCTCCGATCGAAGCTATAACACGTACAAAACACTGAGAACACCAATTGATCTACATTTTAAACGTCCACTTTTAAGTTGTAGCTTAAAGCACGATATTATTATTAAATAATAACAATATAAATAAAATATAAATAAATTAATATTATATTATCATTAATATATTCAATCTGAAATCATCATCCGATGCAATCTCGATCGACTGCAACTCGTTTGTGCTTTAATACACATTATTTGTCTACATTAAATACTTCGTAGTTTGAAAAACTATACAATAAATTACAACAAAAAATCAATGAAAATACGTAAACACGGGCACGCTTACTTAATAAATCTTGCGTAGTGTATTTCGTTGATCGCTGATAACTGATAGCAAACCTTTCTTTGTAATATACTTCAACTGGTATGAAATCGTGTGATAACTGTGTGACTGCCATGGTATCTCTATTAGACAAATCGATCAGCATAAAGACGATAAATAAATTAATAAACGATAGTAATAATAAAAATCGGCTGACAATTTATTACTTTTAATTTGTGTACAAATTTCGATAAACACAACATAGTCAAAACATATATAAAATTTTAAACTATTCATATAATATGTATTCATATATATATTTTTAAGCTAAAATTAAATTCAAAGCCCGTCCCATTAATGTACTTAAAATTTGAAATAAAATAATTGTTATCGACCGCGATTCGATATTAGCGAAAATAACTTTAAGATGGTTCATGCTGAAAACATGACTTTGTTTATTATTTCTAGCTATTATATTTATTATATTACATTTATAAATTAACGTTTTTTTTATTTACTTTGGAAAGTGTCGCATTTCCGTCGTATATCCTACAAAAGAACACGAGTGCGGGCAACTGCAGTTCATGAAAACGGGTACACTCCATTTGGGAAATCCTGGCTGGTCTTCCGGAGCTTGGACGTTACGCTGGAGTACTGATACACGATCAAATTATCAAATGTCAATCGACCGGTCAGCGGGCATATGAAAAACAAAACACACTATAAATGGTGAGATGACACGGTTCGGGTCAAGTATGGGGACGAGTCACTGACACACAAGTGCTTCTCAAACCAAGGTCCGTGACTATATTACCTGAGAACTGTGAAATATGTATTTCGTTTAAACTATTTTCTTTAGGTTTTAATTAATTGGCATTTATACACGTTTAAAGTTTTTTTCTAAAATACATTAAACAAATTTAATTCAATATACATTTTAATAATTTATCTGTGTGAAACAGTACGTATAATTTTAGTATATATAATTAAGAAATAATAATTAATGATTTTCATCAATGGAGCCTTGGCAGTTTTATAATAAATTTAGTGGTCTCGCCAGTGGTGTATTCGTAATTTTATTCTAGGGTATACGCTCAGCATATAAGCGTTTATTTGTGGGCGGAGGTGGGCTAAACCATCGGTTCTTAACCTTTGTGTAGTGGCGACCCAAGATATTTATCAAATTTTTCCTGTGACCTTTTTATAAATAATATTCAATGGCAGAATAAAAAATAACTATTTGGTACTCTTAATTGAATAATATTTTTTACTCATATTACTTGTATTCATAACAAGTCATAATATTAATTACATTATATTTAAAAATTAACATTTCTTTTAATAATATTGTATTGTTTTTTAAATAATTTTTAATTTAATGACTTCCTTGATCTTGATGTTGCTTTACCAATGAATCAATTTAGAGTTCTTCTATAGAGTTAGTAAGTGAAATACGCATCGTGGGTTCGATATCAAGCTTGTTTCTTGATACGGTTTTGATTTTAGTTAATATCTTTATTATAACATGTAAAAATATTAGTTAATGGACTTTGCATACTCAAATTTAACTCATTTAATAACGAAAAAATATCTGATAGATACGCAATTTTTGTCAACCAAATTATATCTTGAAAATGGATGGATAACAGTGAATTTTTTTCTCTTAAAAATACTTCTATTTCAGTTCTTAATTCAAAAAATCCCGTTAAAATGTTTCTCCATGATAACCAACGTACATGAGGTTTCATTTATAATTTATAAGACTAAAAAATAAAAATATTATACTAACGTTTTAAATTTTTATCCGACCCATTTAAAATTTTTGGCGACTCAAAATTGGGTCGTGACCCTATGGTTAAGAACCGCTGGGCTAAACCCCTTAAAAAAAATTTTTCTGCCTACCTAAACTCAAAATTACATAATATGATGGTGATGTGGAATATACCCTCGCCAGACTTTTTTCCTAAGAAGGGGGTGTACAAAATTTCAACAAAAGTATTTTTGGGAGATTTGAAGTGGGCGCGCGCCCCCTTAGTCCCCTTGGATCCACGCCTGATATGGAAGTCTATATTTTAAACTTATTTTTAATTAACTCATAGGTATATATCATATATGAAACCGAATGTTTTATTATGTGTAATAATATTTTAGTATTAATTTAAAATAATTTGCACAAACATGCAACAAATAAATACTAAGTGACAAACTGACAACAATATAATAATTAATAATCACAATCTATCCAAAACATCGTAGACAGATCGGTTAATATTTTGATAAATTTATAAACAGAACTTTTTGACTGTTGATCTATTTTTAACAATTATAATATCCGCTCGGCAGTTTCCAACCGTTTTCGCAAATACCCGAAATCGGGGAAAATTTAATCGAAGTTTATGCGGGCACGAGGCTATTTTTGGATAGTGGGTATAGTATATAATAATAATAATAATAAATTATATACTGTTGTTGTATAATGTATGCTTTACGGTGATGAAAAATTAGAAGCTTGCGTATACCCATTATGAACGAATGATTAGTTAGCGTATACCCATGATATGACGAATTTTCTTAAAAGTATACACATAAATCCAAAAACAGAGATCCAGGTATACGGCGTATACCCGCGTATACCCTCCAATACACCAGTGGGTCTCGCGACAAAAGAGTTTGTTAAGTACTGTGACACAGGTTGTGATACAACTTTTACGGAAAATAAACCACACATAAGTATAATTTTTGGATTGATTTTTTAAAATTAATTTTATATTAACAAAAATTATTATAGTACGGATGTATTGCTAACCTAACTGTTAGAGCTCTGCACGGTCCGTTTTTTTTTAGACCGGACTGGACCGATACATTTTAACAAAGACCAGGACCGGACCGGACCGATAAAATAAAATTGATATTCCGGGGTTATATGAATGATGTGGGATTCGAATTTCTAGAAATATAGACATAATTATCTCATATTATTTCGTCGTTATCATTTCCACAGAATTGGTATATATAAATGTCCATAGATTATTAACCGATAGTGATAATTGCTTGGTTTTTTTTCTTATTCGTATACATTTGGAAAAAATACTGAAAACATAATGCAGGTAAATTAATTATCTCGTGTACCAGCGTTATATTTGTAGATCTGTATAATGGGTGAATATTATGTCAACAACAAGACTATAATAATTATTATAAAAACGCGATGAGCTATTTTTGTATCCCCTAAACGTTTTAAGCTAAATTAAAATAATATAATATTATAAAATTATTTTTTATTTTACTACATCATATAAATATATAAAATTATATAAAGTAAAGATCACGGGACCGGACCGAACCACATAAAATTATAATACGCAAAGACCGAAAAAGACCGGACTACGGTCCGATCCGGTCTGGTTCGGACCGGTCTAGACCGGACCGTGCAGAGCTCTACTAACTGTATAGTTTATGTTTCAAGTCCCTACGACAAATATTTTTGAACAACAAAATAATTAATATGATTAAATCCAATCTCGTTGAAATAATTGATTTTTAACGGTTTTTTTAAAAAAAATTGTAACTTTCGATATTCAATAATTTTCTTCACAAGTGTGAAAATTGTACTAGGAGTTTAGTATTCAATTTTCAGGATATTTTTATGGAACCTAAATTATTATGTTAACATATTACGAAAAAAAAAAAATTATGAAAACACGAACATTTCTAAATTTATAAATTGTACGAAAAAGTCAAAATCGTATGAAAAATTATACCATTTTTAAAGAACGGTAATACTGTTGTTCAGTAAATATTCCTAGTTTTATAATTATTGTCTTTTGAGTTCAGGTTAAAGAAATATTAAATTTGTTTTTTTGCTGTTTTTAAATATATTTTTTGTCAGTTTTTCCCAATTGTACGGAAAACTGATAGAGAATTAAAAACCGTATCACTCGAATGCACCAATTAGACAGGATTCACTATCATTGACCATCTCTTCTTTTGATATTAGAAACAATCTTACTGGTCAAAATCGCGTAGATGAACACAAAAAAAAAAAAAATAATAAAAGTCACATCACGGTAGATCTAAAGCATTCTACGTTCCATGCAAAATCTAATATGGCGACGTGAAAAGTACCACGAAAAGGTCTACCATAGAACGATAGTGATACTAGTACGTATGTGATAAATCGTACCGTCCATTTCTCCTAAACATTGTAAATGTTCAATTCCACAGCAATGCCCGAGCTCTGTGAAAACCGAAGAAATAGAATAATTATTTCTTTATTGGAGCTCGATGTAATGCACTGTATTACTGTTCACGTTGAAGTAGTAAGGTACACAATTGCAACGTTTGTATGTAGTCAGCAGTCTGCATTTGCTGTAACAATTGTTTTCGGCATTACTCCTTCTGGACGGGAAGTTCTTGTGATGCATCGTCCTTTTCTGGTGTAGAAAACACTTGCGGTCTTCTTCGCTAAGCCGGTGAAGTGACGAGTCTGCCCGAATGGTTTTGACGCTGACCGATATTCGCGATGACTGGTTGAGGTCGCTGTAAATCTTGTAGCTACTCGAAATGTCCGGGAAATCTTCGGGCGTGTGTATCATTATCTGTCCGGAGTTTCACCTCACATTTAACATAAAATTGTATACGATGTGTAACATTGCATTGCAATTATCAATGACTAGTAAATTGTAAAAGCATAGTTAATATAACGGTCTACTATACATTTTCTAACAGAAATTCTATATCTAATATATATATATTGTTCATAACTTTTTAAGCTATATATTTGTAGTTTACAAAAGCATCATTTTCCCTTCTTCTCTACAATCTAGTAACGATTTTCAATGTATCCTTACGTTAAATCCTTTGTACCGCCGGTCGATCGGAAAATATTCAGTAATCAAACTATTCAGGATTACCTCAAACCCAGTCATCTTGCCCGCGGCGTTATTTCTCAGTGGAATTAATATGTCGTTTAATCCTGCTATTGGAGGATTAAACTTGCTATCGCTGAAAGTAAACTTTACATGACGTGTCTGTCTGTATTGATAAAAAAATAAATATGTATGGTAAATGATAAAGCTGTATATTACTTAGCTGTTCTTTCTGATGTTTTGCTGTTGAAAGAATAGCAAAATCCTTCTTCAGTGCGCTGCAGTCGAATAATATCCGAACAATTATATCTATAGCCTCTCCAAAAACATTTATTGAACATCTGGTCAACCGTTGGCATCAGCTGAAATGAGTATAATTCATGGACCATTTTAATGTAATTTCTATACGGTTTGTCATTATGAAGGTAAATGTTTGGATATTACATTCAACATAATATTGGATATGTTCTCTAAAGGCAAATCAATCACAGGATTATTTTTTACGAAAATCGACAAATCTTTATAGTGTGGATATTGTAACATTCCCATAGCATATAACGAATTTTCGTATTTTTTCCACTGTTCTGGATCATCTTTGTACTTACTAAGAAAACAACAAACGTATTTATATACACTTCATAATTTAATTCCTTATATCTATAATAAGTATAGTATCCATTTACATTATCCTCTATCTCTCACCAAGCACTATTCGGTATATTCAATATTCCATTATATCTAGAAGTATTTTTTATTGAAAATAGTTATGTAATCATTTTAAACAATATTTTTCAGATGAATTATTATTGTAGTAGTTTTGATTTTTTACTGAATATTTTATTTTTTATCTCAGTGTATTAAGAAGTATATTTTTATTCCAATAACGAATTATAAAATTAATTAATTTTATTGTTTAAATATATATTTATTATTAATATTTTCAATATTACAATCATTTTATTTCATTTTTATTTATAAGAATTAACGAATTAATTAATTAATCAATCAATTTGTTGAATAAGTAATTCAGATGCAAAAGGAATAGTTCTTAAATTTAAATCTATAATAACCATAATTTTCATTCTTGAACATTTCATTAAATCATACTTTATTTCGACAAAATTTTTATTATATATGTATATATATACAATGTATATTATGCATAAACAAATATTTTATGTATAGAAATAAATAAATAAATAAAAGTTTAGCTTTAAATTATCTCTTATTTTTTTCGATGTATTCCTTCCTTTATTTTTCATACTCAATCGTGATTTTATTTTTTTCATATTTATTATGCATAATGCGATTTTATCGACTTTTTATATACGAAAACATACCTGACAATGAACTTTTAATTTAAAACATGTCGTACTTTACAAATATAATAATACTCCAGGCTAAGCTTTTATTTATTTATTTATTTCTATAAATATATTTTATATATTTGTTTATTTATTTATATAATAATTTACGAGTGTTAAATATTTAATTTTAATTTAATTTTTATTATTTTATTGCAGATTAAAATTGTTCATAAAAATATTTAAAAAAAGTTATTTAATTCTTAACCTAAATGTAATACTTTGAAACAATTAAATTATAAAATTACTGATCAATTTCAAATTAATAAATAAATAATTGTATTATAATTAGTAGTCAATGAACAAATAAAAATAACATACTTTAAAATCAATTTTTTAGCTTTCGAGTATAAAATTTTGTTAATGGAACATATGGTTATTGCTGGGAAGTCAATTTTGCTAAGTTCATATCGAGGGTTATCCAAAATGATCTGTATGGATGAATACGAAAAAGTTTCCCATGAAGCGAAAAGATTAACAATAATAGTGGCAATAGCGACTACCATCAAGGCCGCCCACATAAGTCTATAGAAATAAAAAAAAATTCATTTAAGTTGATTAAAACGAAATTGTAGATTTTAATTTATTTATTTTTTTCCCGAAATATTGTGAATATATGCTTATACAATGCGAGACAAAAAGGCTAAGACCTCAAATATGTATGATAGGCAAACAAAATTCACTTCTTTTATAACATAATCTATTATGATGAATGTTAGATTGCCTACTATGCAATAATAAAATATTGCTGATATAATTTTTTTTGTCTCATACTGTATAATACGCGTTTAAAAAATCGTTACAAAGGTTTTTTTTAAGTAATTAAGTTTGTACCGTAATATCAATCACGAAAAACAAATGTTGACCTTTAAATGTTTAAGTATTTTTCTGTTTGGCAGCTATTATTTTATTACCAATAGATAGTTATGTGAAAAATAAACTAAATTTGTAATGTGCATTGAACTGAAGTAAATATTAAAAATTGAAAATAATAAATAAAATACATAACATTGATGAAGAATGTTTAAAGATTTATTTATACCTTTCCCAAGGCTTAGCTTCACTTTTGACGACGTATCGTAGACCGTGCAAAGAACTATTTTCACAGTAGTTAATCCAGAAAGTTTTTATAATCGCCATCACGTGATAAACCAAAATAACTGTACATTAATTAAAATACATTTTCTTATTTTATAACTGAATTTTAAAAAGAATAGAGAAAATCATAAAATAAATTTTTAGTTTTTTAAAGAAACTGAAACAGTTACTATTGGAAAATCACCTATTATTCGACTCGAACAATTTTCCTTGTAATTCTTTCAAGGGCTGTACTTAAATGATTTTAATCGTAAAATGAATTGATCGCAGGCTATTAAATATTTAAATTCCGTTGATTACCTTAGCTATAGACAGGAAGTCTAAGTATCAAATATTATAAAAAAAAGAAAAAGTAGTAAACATTTATAACCTTATACGGTCTGTAGAATTATATTTATTTTTTATACGGACCCATGAATTATTAAACACATAATGTGGCAACTATTTAGTGTCTATTTTATTTTTTCTATTCATCTTGATTTCTGTAAGTAATATAAATTTTTGTTTTGACAGTATGCTGTCAGTATGTGGGTGTAAGTGTACGATAATTATAAAAGAATGAATTAATAAAATATTTGATCGACGTTATTCATCTATACCCAAGTAATTTGCCATGTCACGGCGTATAAAACACATATATCTATCATAACCTCTCTTTACATTTTGAAAATAAATTATAATACACTGAGTTAGAATTGAACTGTTTATGTCGAACTATTGTATACGTTCTCGCAACCCTACGGCTGTTGGAATACCTTTCACGTCACACCGCCGCAATCGTTTTCGCCTAATACGTTCCCTTTATATTTCTCCTTATTATTAAAATGTATTAAACATTATTATTTAAAAATCTATAACTGAAGAAAGGCTAATATAATTACATAATGAACATTAGGTAATTTTATAATGACATGCCTAATAATATTCTATTGTTTATTACCAAGGTTTGACGCAAGGAATCCAAGCCGGTTACGACCTGATTTTGAAACCCGGGGTACCTCGAAAAAATCTGAAACCGGGTATGAACTGTAAACCGAAACCCGGCCAATATATGAACCCGGTTTTTATCCGAAACCCAAACGTGGAGAAAAATCAAACCCAGTTTCAACACAAAAACCGGGGTTCAAAAAATGAATATTGAAATTAAATTTAAAATATTAAACCATGAACTAATCTGCCACAAAAAAATAAGAAAATAATGTGTTCATCTTTACTTTATTTTTGAGGAACGGAAATCAGAAATGAAATGTGTATTTTTAATTTCCATCCATCCATGCGCCGACGATGCCAGTAGACAGTAATACTTAGAAAATGATCAATTAGCCTAGGGTTTCCAACTTTCGAATTGTTTAATGTTGGACAATTTTTTTCATATCCAATTTATATCATGTTTCAGCAGCGTATTCAGGATTATAGAGGTGGTGGGGAGGGGTGCAAAGTAAAAAAAAAATACCATCACTATGGTTATTTATACAGGTTTTATGTATAAACAATATGGCCTATGGGGGAGGGGGGAATGGCCCATTGTCTCTATCTAACTACAACCAACAGTATATGTTATATATATAATATTATATATTATATACTACATAATATTATAATGATAACTAAGAAAAATATCTAATACATTTTATTTAAATTTTTTTTTTTTTTTGGGTGTTTGTGGCCTCCAGGACCATGCCGTCATACATCCAGCTTTCCATCTTTCTCGGTCTGCTGTTCGTGCCTTCCAATTATTTTCTCTTCCTAGTTGTTCCACGTCCTTCTTCACTACATCCTCCCATCTCATTTTCGATCTTCCTATGGATCTTTTCCCGTTGGTTTCTTTTCCAGTATTGTACGAATTAATGGGTTTTTGTTTCTCCAGGCATGTCCTGCTCATTGTAGTCTTAGTTTTTATTGCTTCGACAAATTTGTTTTTGGTATAGTGATTCTAATTCCTCGTTTTTCCTTATCTTCCATTCATTAATTACACTGTCCTTTACCGGTCCGAAAATTCTTCTTAAAATTTTTCTTTCAGAAGAGAGGAGTCTATTATTTTTTTTTCTTTTATTTATATTACTTTTATTAAGTTAACTAATTAATTATAACACTTGGATGTTTACTACTTTAATTAAATAATAAATTGATAAAATTAAAAGAATAATAATAATAAAATATAAATAGGTATTTTTGTAAAATGTATGATTGTCTTATAAATAGTTTATAGTATTGTTAAACGTAAGACAAATTAAACAAATGTAGGACATTCCTGTCCAATGTAGGACGGTTATTAACCCTTAATTAGCCAATTACCAATTATTAAATTAATCTTTATGAATCTTCCGGAAATTTTTCTTTGATCATTCTAGAAAGTATTATGTTAATAAAATGTAATATACAAACAACAATTTTAATATTACATTCTTTTAACTTATTATCTTCTTAGGTTCATTATATTTTATAGTGTACTTTTTAGTGTATTCATTAAATTAGTCTTTTTTTTTTTTTGTAAAACTATAGCTAGTTAGAACTTAAAAAACAAAGTTGAAAATTAATAATTATTTAATCATATATTAAATAGTATTTATATTATAATATTACAACCTTACATGAGTTTATGACTAGAAAATGAAAATAAAAATTATGTAATATGTAATACTTCTACAGTTAAATTAATTTAGTTAAAAACAAACTATGGTACTTACTTGTATTTTCTGCAAAAGAAATAGTAACTGAGGCTTTAGAGAAAACTTCTTGAAACCATTCCTCTTTAACAACATTACGGTGTATCTTATCATGAGAATCAAAAATAAATAAAACCCGGTTTTAACCCGTTAACCAAAATCCGAGAAAACATAAAACCCGTTTATAACCGGGTAACTGAAACCCATGAAAAGTCAACAACTTTAAGACAGGGGAGACTTTAATCGATAAATCATTTTCAGTCTTTCATATAGTCCATTAATTAGGTAATTAATTATAAATAAGTATATTCTTAAGTGTTGTTAGTGAACAGTTTCCTCCACAAACTATTCTTGTGCTGTAAAATTGTATAAGTTACTTGTTATTAACAGCGCAGAGGATTTGTAGCATTTGCATATTTTTTTTTTTGCACAGTCACAAAAATAGCAGAGTACGAAACAAATACGTCTCATGTTTCCACCAAGCTAGTTTTGAAATTGCATGTGCATATAAATACATATTTTGAATTTTTTTGGTTTTTATGGTTAATTCATCCATTTTATATTTTTAGCCGAATATTTAAAAATAATTTATCATTTTATCATAAGTTTTTCGTCGACGTTTTTATTTATTTATACAACCAAAATAACATTGAATTTAAAATTATTTTAAATTTTGATCACAATATGAACATGTTTGTTGACTTTACCAGACGTTTTTCCTAGAAACACATCTCGAGAGTGCCGGTTAGATTGATTGTAAGGTTATTGATTTTATTTATAGACAGATGAGAGAATATTGTTCATCGCACAAAATATCCAGACGAGCCACGACGTCTGTTGCCGACATTGGACGTATACAAATTTCAGTAATCGATGTGTTTCTCAACGGTTGACCAATTACGTTCTATTTACTGTTTATTATAACTAATAACACGCAACTTAAACAGTCGATACTCGAGTATCCGTCACGTCACCTGGAGTTGCCTCGTGTGAAAACGGCCTCAATCACGAGTCGAAATTTATTATATAAATAATTGATTTTTGGCGCGGGGAAACGCGCTTTGTGCTGATGATACTAGCAGAGCAAACGCTTTTTCAATAGTATTTTATTATTATTTGTAAATCATTTAAAAAGTAAAATGTGGGATTCATTATTATATAAAACTAAATGGCATATATTAAGTAAATAGGTACACTAATGGAGTACCTAATACAAGACTTAGATTATTTAAAAATTGTATCACTTTATTATAGTTTAAATATATGACATAACTATATATGTTTGGATTATTAGGAATAGCGATTATTGATTATATTTTTACTATGATTTAAATATTTAATGTGGCTGATATGATATTACATTATATTATAATTTTTTTTAATAATATATCATATTAATTTTATTAATAATATTAATACAACAAATAGAATTTATCTTGCCAATTAAATGCGTTAAATCGGTTGGTCTTATGTTTTATAAATCGTTAAGAAATTTTTTTGTCATAATGAAGTTGACGCGTTTGAACGAGACATGACGCAGACGGTCCACCGGTGATTGAATTGCTTACCGCCGGTAGAAACCGTCATTGTTTTTCGTTTATTTCATTTCTTTTCAATACTATTGCGACACACCTACAGCCTATAGCGACCGGAAAATGTGTTTTATTTCGTTGTCCGTTGACAACGGGATCGGGTCCGGTGAGACCGTTGTTTTTTTATATTCTGTTATAAAGTAATTATATTATATTTTTAAAATGGCTGAAGAAACTGAAATGCTCATCGAGCAAGTAAGAGTGTATGTGTACTTATTCGACACATCTCATAAGAAGTATAAAAATGTAGTAAAAAAAGCCGAAGCATGGAATAAAATATCCGAAGAACTGGGTATAACTGGTAAGTATATACTTTATAGTAGAAACTAGAAATAGTAACATATAGTAAAATATAATAGATTTATAAATATAATAGAATTCTATATTTATAGTCTTTATGTATCAAGTTTTTCCTTTTATTTTTAAGGACAAGTACTTAATAAAAGAAGTTGTTCCTCGTCAGAACTTGACATTATAGTAAAATGGCGATTATTAAAAAATGAAATCAAGTGGACAATTATAAGCAACTGTATACTACATTACTAGATTAATAGACTATGACGGTTGTAGCAGACCATTTCACCAGAAAAGTCCTTCTACAAATTAGGCAATAGTATATTTTGGAAAGTGAAATATAAATGAGATTTTAAATAATTATCACGTTTGTGATCACTTTTATATTACTGCTATAGTTGCCATAGCACACTAAACGAAACAATTATTTCCAATCAAAACTTATACGAATTGGACCCTATATCAATATCGTGTTGAATGTAGTCCCGAGGAAGAAAAAGTCATGGTTCGACGAGATCTGTTAAAGATCATAAAGATCATAAAGATTTTTTTGGAGCTTACTTATAAGCTTTACTATGTTTTTTAGTAGTAAAAAATATAAGTTAGATGTAAGTCTTTTTAATATTTGTAAATTATTATTAATATATATATATATATATGAGTGATTATAATTATATGACTAGTTAATTCAAGTTGAGAATAAATT